TTTCAAGAGATAAATGTGTGGACACCAACTACTCCTGTTTTGACCCCGGTCGGTTTAATTGGTCGCTTCGTCTACAACACGGTCACTAAATCTTGAGAGCTCCAATGTCTCTGAGGCCGGCTTCAGGCTCGGATGAACAAGCGACCCCCGCTGATGAATGCTATGCAGTGTAATCTGATTCCACTGACTCTGACACATTGCATAGCTCTTAACTCACATTCATAACGTGAACAGAGAACTGGATCCAGTAGGCGATGATGGGTTAAGCGAGTGAATGGCTTTTGACCGTGACCAGTAAGTTAAAACACCAAGCGATTCCAATTAATCCGCGATCCGACTCAGGGTGGAAAAGTCCAGATGGGCCTGTAATTTTGTACTGAAACAAGTGAACGACATTTTGCTGCTATATGGTCATCTGTTTAGGTGAAGCACCACCCAGTGGTAAATTAGCAAGTCTAGTTTGGTCAGATATCATCTTCAAGGAAACGCAATCAGTTCATTTTGGCCTGACAGTAACAAACGAAGACATAGTTGACTACATCGGAAAGGCAGCCATCGCATCGGGTCTTATATGGAGACCCGTACTTGCTCATATATATATATATACATACATATATATTACCGCGATTATCCCGAAGGGCTCGAATAACTTCATAATGATCCAGGAATTGTTACAGGGCAAGTTCTCTTCTGTTTGCATGCAACTATCAAAAGCCGCATTACGTGAGACACTTCCCCAGTAAAGCCCCATTCGAACCTAGTAAAACCCACGCACTGGAGTGTACCATTCTGCGCGGCGTTGCCCAGTCTCTTTCATTGGCAATTTCCACTTGATAGAACACGATAAGCGAGTCGAGGAGAAATAAAACAGCGGACGATTTTACTACGTTATTCTCAGAACCAAATAACAGAGCGTTGAACGGAACAGATGGTGTGTGCTGTTGAAGGCATCTGGACGGTACTACGACAGGATGCACGGATGCAGGATTCGCGAAACTTAACCAAACCCAAAGCAAGTTTGATTGGGTGAAATGATCACTTAACAGAGTAGCCCGGGAAAACAGGTGAATAAGATTACTGGCAAGTTGATTCGACGCGATTGACAACCAAACAAACAGCGCAAAATGCGATCAGATATCACAAGTTGTTGTATGGACCGAAAGTATCAAAAAGCACGGGTAGAACAGATTTGTATCACAGAAAACGCGTGGAGAGTTGGTATTGGTTAAAAATTCAAGATTAATTCGGCCACTTGTTCCGGACTGCGCAGCTTCGGGTGTGCTGTAGAACTTTCAGCAGACACTGGGTTGCTGAATGAAGTGTACCCGTTGGCTGGATTCACTAGAGTATCATACATGATTTGGTATTGGGAATGAATAGCGTCTGCAGCTCGACGCCGAATCATCTTGCGCAGCCTTTGTGCTGTCAAATGCCTCAGCTCAGGCAAAGCATATCGATCCGGATTGGAGAGATAAATGTCAAAATGAATCTGTGGTACGGAAACGGTAAGGGTGTGAAGAACGAAAAAAATGTTAATTAATTTTTTATATTTTAGGAAGCAATTATTATGAAAGTATTACTTGCTGCATTCATTTTTATGTTATTTAGAGCGTGTACACTCAATTTCAAAGAATGAAACTATAGTCTGTTGAATGCACCAAATTTGCAAGTTAATTCAATGGTGGCATGATGCCTGGAATGGGACCTGCCGATCGAAGCGCTGTTAAAACCAGTCACCTGCTGCTTTCGTGCTAAGAAAGCTGTGTAAAGAAATCAATAAGGCGTTCCGCAAGCAAAGATCATGAATGGGGAACGGAACGCGGTGTTCCGTCATATACCATTAAGTGCGTTTTAAATCCTGTTTATGAGATACCACGATATTTTATGATTCCGTTTTACGCCAAAGAAGTATCTATGCGGTCTGCAAGTAACATCAGAAAAACCACATCTGTCGTTCCACATAATCAAGAAGGATAACGTCATGCGAGAATTTCGCTCATAACATACTCGACTCACTTTATCTGCCGGCACCCCATTGACCGAAAATTATGTAATTGAAAGTCTGCTACTCAATAATATGATGAAAATCTGTAGCGTATGCTAGGGAATACTCAGATAATTTCCGTTTAAAAAGGTAAACTAATTTTTAACATGGATACCATTGTTTAATGTCGCAACTAATTGTCGATATATACATGTTTGCACAGAAAAATCAAAACTCATTCGATACCGTTCCCAAATAACGTCATCAACAGTTCCAGCAAAATTTCAATAATATTAATAATAAGATCCAGTAAAAGTTTTACAAATAACATGCAGATATCCAACAGAACATTAGAGAACGATCATCGGTCCATCGATCGGTCTACACAGTACTCCCTGGTTGACTCCATTGTTGAATAACGGGTATCTTATATCAACACCGACATGGTCTCAACGTCACAAATTAAAACAAAGAACGCAAAATTACACTTTCTATCATAAAACCTTGTTACGAAATATTTTAAAAATTATAAAAAATTATCGCATTTATTTATAATTCACGGATTCTCAAAAGATGTCAGAATAAGGAAAATAGCACGGAGTGCCGGTCATCACAACTCAACGGTTCCCTATCTAGCTTGTATTCTCACTGACACAGTGAACATCCACAACGAACTGAATCTAAACCTTTAAAGAAGAAGACCTGTTTAAATTTTATCATTGCTGATGTAAACTCAACGATTTACGATATGGATCATCAGACAACGGCCGATATCCTTCCCGATCCGGTGCTATCATACCCCACACACATCTCCTCATCCTACCTACACACGTGTTCACACTCGCTGACTCAGTCATGTGACACAACACACACACACACACCGTGACAATGTCTACCAGTTATGTGACACCGACACGCACAAGGTAACCAGTCTTATTGCCAAACACGCACTAACCGCGCCTGTCACCTCACGGCTCTGACCAATCCAAGCATTCATAAACCCAGTCAATCACTGCACTCGATCTTGTGACATTAGCCCATCAGTTTCGCTGACTAGGGTCTAACACATTCGACTACACACCGCCCAATTACGTCCGATCTGTGTGGATTATATTACGTTGTTTATTTACGCGGCCTCGGGAATTCTTGATGTGAGTACATACCCTCTTTCACTGTGCCAATCTCCTATTTGCGCGTACTAAATGTTATTTGTTTCTTACAGAACCGGGGGGATTGATACAAGGCGGCTCCCAGACTGGACTTCCTGGAGTTGATTTTTTTTGGCGGTTGGAATATTTTATCATATACCTATGCAATTGTTACGAAAAGACGATTTTTGAGAGTTTTGTTTTAATTTGTCACCTTGAAGCGGTGTCGGGTGGTTCTCGCTTGCAATGACTTCTCTGTAGTTTTGAGTAGATGCACGATAGGAGATTGATCCCATGTGAACGAACCTGTACTTGCGGACATGGGACGCATTTACAAGAATTTACTAACTGCAGAGATGGTTATGTTTTTCGTTGCACAACGTGCAAGAAACGTCGTCGCATTCGCTGTGGCACTTTTTGGTGCATCCAAATTTACCGTTGGACACATTGTTGGAACTGATTCTTTACTTTGTAATGGGAGAACNCCTGTGATACCGGCTGCCGCAATGGCCGACATATCTAATCAGACTGCAATTCAATGGTATATTTTCTGCCGCGATATATGTTCACCGATGCTGTGTTCCTCAACCACACAATTAGGCGTTGCCGGTGATGTGGTAGAAATTGACGAAATAGTCGTGACACGCAGCAAATATGGCAGAGGAAAGCAGCGCCCTGCGGTATGGGATTTTGGAATGTACGATCGATCTTTGAAGAATGGCTAATTCGAACGATTGGAAAATAGGTCAGCTGCCACTCTAATTCTAATCATCCAGAAGTGGGTCACTCCAGGGGAAAAAACAAGGTGATACCACAAAACAGTGAATGCTTACCGTTCCGTATCTCCAGTTGAACTGAATTCCGTTTTATAGAAGTGGATACATTAAGAGGCCAAGGATAATAAACGTGCTTTTGCAGCCATGGATCGGGAAATAACACGCAAACCTCGATCTTATGAGGCGAAATTCAACGCCGGATTTTCATGACGTGGTTGATGAGAACCATAAAAGTGTATTGAGGCAACAGGATTTCCCGGCCACATCAGCATCGTTTGAACCGCCTCCATTCAATATGCGGTACGGCGTTCGATACCATCACAACGACCAACTGCGTGGCATACGACCGCCACCTTCATATCTCTTAGTCCAGCTTTGAAGCATCAATACTGGTAGAAAATACAATATTTCAACAATTGTCGATCTAAGAATATTCCAATACTTTTAGATTTGACTCACCCACAGCAGTATGAATAAAGTTTGTGCGCCAAGGTCAATGGACAGCGGGTGAAGACTAAACCATCAAGGGTCAAAGCTAAAGGATTGTGGGTCGAGGCTAAAGCATTGCGGGTTCGGACTAAAGCTTGATGGCTTAAGGTGTAGATATGTTAGAATGTGCAAGTTACCCTAAACGAAACCATTTGTATTGGACACCCGAACCCCAGAAGCGTCTAATCCAAGTTATTACCCCTGGGTTTGCGAACCCACGCCTCCACCCAGACCCCACATATACATATATTTGCACAACATCGATCCCTCAGAACGGGCCCATACTACTAAAATGACAACTGAAAATCTCAGAGAACGTGCTGTACAACACAATACGCAGTGATCCATATCTTCAATGCTGTCCTTACAATTCCTAGGTTTTATCCTGCTATGCAAATTGTAACGGCATGACTATGAATTATTGTGAGCAATTGCCCACCTGGAATTGTGTTCTAAAAGACATTATAGGTAGGCTTTGAAAGTCTCCGAGTATCGCTTGTCGATTCCTACAATCGTGCAGTAGATCCTTTGGACTATGGAACTGGACTCTTCACCTTTTTGCAACATAGATCTAGTGGCTGCTATTATTATCATCCGAAAAACTGCTCGGTAATGATAAGCTCCCTAGACGCATAATATGCACAAAAACATTTTAAAATGGCGAACTCACTAAAGCATTGTGAATTTCTGGTTCACTGAGGCCTTCAATGCTACCGCCAGATTGGTCAGACCGATTGACCAGCGGTCCATCTCGACTGGGTTCGTGACCTTCCTCGAGCACGCGAAGCAAGTGAACCAATCGAGTGCTTTGTAGGACTGCGGAAACTTGGGCGACTACAAGCGTATCTACGCTTTGGTTCAACAGGGAGCTGATTTGTTCCACCTGATCGTTGGTGTACTCCAGACGAGCCAACGTAGTCTCAATGAGATACAGACAATTGATCAGGTAGGTGGCCGACCGGACACGATAGGGAGTTCGAGTGAAAGTTGCTTGGTTTGCGGTGCCGGATGCGGCTAACAGATCCGCTTCCGATATGGCTGTTTGCACAATTCGATCGGCCGAGGTTTGGCAATATGTAATTAAAGGGTCGATCAAGGTTGTGATAATCTGAATCGGTATAAAAATGAAACAGCAAAAGAAGGTGAGCGAGTTAATCAGAGAAAGATGGAAAATATACAGAGGTAGGTATACAAACAATTGCCAACTCAGAAACACAGGTAAAATGTTTTGTTTCTCAAATTCCCCTAAGGGAGGAGGACCTGATAAGCACGCCTTCCTTCTTTCCTTCCCAGGGCAGTTGAGGATTGATATGAAGAGTGGTGGTACTGTATCAACAGAGTTTACCTGTGACCGATGTTTTTGCCTAGCCTGGCTACGAAACGCTTGCAAAAAACACTTTCAACTCAGTGAACACAACACCAGCATCCGCATCCCGAGCTGCATTCATTGCATATTATTTCGAACTAGCAAAGTACCTTCCATACGAAGCGCATACAAACAACATAACATAATTTAGTCTTGAAGACGATATAACTAGTATAATCAGACAGTCCACACCTGATGCCGAATATCCGCCGAGAACAAATATAAGGATCATATTTGTTCTCGGCGGATATTTGGTATCTACCTAATTGCACCTAGATGATCTGCCTACTTGTGAGTAGTATGTTCAATAAAGTGAAACAAAGCAACTACGGGAACGGGTAAAACAATACAGTTCCAATGTACGCCTTAAACTAGGTAAGGACTAAAGCGAATTGACAACATAACTCCAATCAGTCTCCTTAGTTGAAGCTTTTAAAAATGAAAAGCATTTTTTCAGGGATTTTTCGTAGAAAGGAAATATCATGAAACAAACCGGATTGGTGCCGCCTAACACTCACATTGTTGGGCTCTTTTGTGCCTCGGCAATCACGATCCCGGGGCATATATTAAAAGTCTCCAAAACCGAATCCCAGATCACTGTAACTATCACGTTCACATTTTCATCACAGTGGTGTGTAGTAAAGTAGGACGATAGGGGAACTAACAGATTCCAAAATTATCATAGAGGTTCGAAGAGCCAAATCCCAACCAGAACAAAAGACACCAAATGGCAGAGATAAACAGAACGCCCCGTAGAAACCTACCTGATTAAAACAGGTTTTTCGTACATCTTCCGGAAGCAGTGAGATGTCGTGCGCTCGTAGAATTTCCATCAGCAGTTGGAGCGTATCGCGTACAACGTCAGTCGGAGACAGATCCGATGCGGGAAATTCTGTCTGTGCAAGAAAACAAGATCACCAGGTTTTTTTGAAACACTTTATTTGAAAAATATAACTTGTGAGACTTTCAAACACAACTGTGTTTCATCAAATGGCAGGCACTAACTGCATGTCAGTTGCAGATAAAAGGTGGCGATATGATGAGGAAGACGGAGGATAACGCAACGGCTAATAGTTTTAACTATCGAATATCAGCGCAAGACTCGTATCGCATTCGTTTCAACTGACAAAAACTACTGCGTACAGAGATATGATGAGAGGACGACTCCAAACAGCTCACAGAGATATATGGTGCTGTCCTTCTAGCCAAATTGTTCGTAGCGGTGAGCCAGTTCGAGTTGTGGGAGTGAAGTAAACGGCTATTTGTACGATAATGAGATCTGATTTGTTAGTGTCATGCATTGTCAACGGTACAAAGTTTGAAGAGGATTAAAAGAAAGAATTTTCATCACAATGACACTACAGGCTTACCTGCAGGGCAAGTGAATACAAAAGTATGCAGGTAATCACAGTATTCAGTAGGGAACAAAAAGTGAACTAAGAACCTTTTTCTTTCTTCCAATGATTTCGACCACAACAGATCGCTAAACGAAGTAGATTTACCTGTTCCATTGCGTTGCGTATGTACTGGTGTAAATTGTTGAACAGAAGACGCCAACTTAGTTCTTGGATCTCAATGACAGCATTCGACAGGCATGTGGAGGAACCGAGAATGGAACTGTTTCGTGGTTTGGGAGGCGGGAGATAAGGAAAGAATACGGGGGAAGTTTTGTCACAACAATATTTCCGATATGCGTTGTTTTGAACGAAACTCCATCTAGACTGTCTAAAGTTTCAATACTTGTACAACACCAGTGGCAGATCTCCAACGCATAGCGTAAAACGCATACTGTGCGCAGGGGCAATGACCGTAGCATCAAAAATCGTGCGTTGTTTATGGATGAAATGATGACAGATAATGAGGATATGGTATATCCACAGAAGCAAGTCAGTAGGAGTCAAACCAGCATTAGCTTCATCTATCCCAATGGGCGAGTTTTCAGCTGCGTACATCATACCTGTGAATATCAGATTCACGAATTCGGCAAAACAAAATTGGAATTCATCAACTTTCCACTTTTTAACTCAGAAAACTATTATATCGAAAATTTCGCCCCATCAACAAACAGACGTGCGTGTAGTGGACAAACAGAATTACGAAGAACAACCGTTGTCACAGAGCGGGTTGAACGCACCGGTTTCGCCTTATCTCTTCCGCTGCGCACAAACACCTATGTGAAAGGTCACTCATAACAGTGACAAGATATCAGACACATAAAAACATTCAACTGGGCCAAAACAATGCGAAGGTCAAAGGTCACCAATCGGACAGAGGGAGGAGTAGATGAACACGCCTACTGATCGGAAACAGACCTACCACGGCAAGACCGGACTAGCCACAAAGTTTACTTGTTTACAGAGCTCTTGGTTTATGAGGTCAAATTGCCACGGCACAAGAACGAAAGTGTACTACGCATGTTACCACATAGGCTACCACAGTGCGTGATGCAGTGGGTGGGATAAAGCCACGGGTGGTCAAAATAAGACCAGGCATAAATTTATGAAAGCCCTCAACAGTCGTATAGGATGGGGACCTCGGGATCATTGTAATCAATTGTTGAAGACACTGAGTGATATGGCTGAGGGTGGTCAACAGTAGCGTTAGTGCATTTTCTCTTTTTCTTTGCAACCCTAGTTCCCCATATTTTATTTTACTCCATTTTCAACTTTCCTATCTTTTTCCTGCTGCCTCATCCAAATGGGAAACCAAAAGATAGCAACCGCAACCGGTGCACGAGAGTGCATAGTTTTACAATCAGAAGATGAAACGGCCCAAGCAACGAAGTCAAGTGTATATTGTGCGACCGTTTGTTCAGTTCTGCTTTGTGGTTCTGATATCTTGAAACTGTGAGTAGATATCCATGGACTAGAAGTCTTTGACTATCAGTGTTTACGAAGTTTAGCCCATATGAAATGAAGCGAACAGGTTAGTAACCTGGAAGTAAACTGTCGCGTGTTTGGGAGTCTGCCGGAGACAGACTTGCTAGCTCACCGAATTCAGTATAGTATGTTTCGCTGACTAGTGCACGTATTCCCTATATCCAGCTGTCGTCTGCCGCACTTCGCTTTATTCGCTAAAGCCATTCCGAGATAGAGGAAACTACGTGGAGGTCAACAGATAACGTGGAGACGAGGCATGAAGAAATGCACAAGACTGTTAGGTTGGGATCAGAAACACTCTGTAATTGGTTGATTGGAGACATTGAAGGAGAGAACTGAAGGCAGAGAACTGATGGCAGTGGAGTTCTTGTTGTCACTTCTTATCAGGCCAGAATGCTTGAAAAGGTATGTACGCACAGATTGTGTATTCTGAGTGTTGACCATAAATGTCCACCTTCTCTCCTCTGTCAAAATAGGTCCAAACCCTGCTCTCCTTACATATTACTAAATTTGTACGCATTACGAGTTTGGCAGCGATTAGTGAAGTTCGCATTATTGTACGATGCTGGTTTTCCTACTGTTATATAGGTGACTGTCTGACGTATTATTTTAAGATAATTCCGTCCATACGCTTGCTAGTGTTTTATTCACTGGTCTACGACACACTAATGAAAATCGATGCACTATAATACGAAGTTACGCCAGCAACAGACACTATATGATAGTGCTGGTGGTAGTAAAAATCAGTATGCACAGTGGTTACCCTTCGGTGTGATCAGTGAAAGACTTACCAGAGAGTATGCTGATAGAACCGCAGTACGTTATTTATCCTGTATAACAGCACCGCGTCTTGCTGTGCAGACATTAACTGCTCCATGCGCATCTAACAGGAAGGGGGTACAAGATATTGGTTGATGTTGAGCTGAAAAGCCCCTCTTCGATAATGACACCAAAACTGGACCACAGAACATTGAACTGACCTTGAAAGGAGAGCACAATCCTTCGGTAGTAGCGTCCAAGCAGGCGCTGATAATCTCCTTCAGAGCTACAGGAGGTACAGAATACAGAGAAGAAAACGATCAGATGGACCGATGTTCGCTAATTTAAGCAAGCTGGATGCACAATCGAATCACTGTATTCATGCCAAGGGCGCAAATAAATGAATGTTTATGAATGGAAGTGGACTTAAACATCAGCATAACCATGCATTCAAGGTATTGACTTTCGACCATGTGGGTCAGACAGAAGTGTTTCAGCTCCCAACCCAAATGGTTTGTGGTCTGAGTTCCGGCGATGCAGAGAAATATTGCCTGCCTCAGAAGAATTCAGACAAGGATGAAACAATTGTATCCAGCGTTGTTGATGGACTTTCGCATAAATGCTTTGACACTAAATGACTGAGTCAGAGTGCAGTGGAATTGCAAATGGACAGCACGAGTTAAGAAAACGTTCGGTTAACTGAAGAACACAGGCAAACAACACGGTCTACAACCGGTGCTGTGCTGTGACACTGGCCACCATGTTCAACTAATGCTTGGTTGAAAGAAAGTATACTAACTGATGCCATTACACCTGTCTCTAAAAAGTGCGTACTTCGTCAGTACTGATAGTTGTCAGATGATGCTTGGGAGCTTGCTCGCTGTAGGCCGAGATCCAAACTAAGTGCCCTTACATCACTGGTCCACTACGCTTCGGCTGCAGTCGGCAAAAGATGCAGCCCTGTCCGGCTATGCATTCTGGACAAAAAAAGATACATTTGGTGATGTGCACATTGATAAAACTCCACATAATCTTAGAGATTCAAGAGTCCCATCTTCCATTATTCAACTACTAACGAACCATTCCACTGATCGCCAACCGTTTAACCGCTATTACACAAAAGCTTCGACTCCTTTGACTGCGTTAACTGCTGCTCTCCTAGGTGCCATATTGTTCCCGTTTCAATTTTCTGTATTTGACACGAAGATCGAATGATAAAATACACTGATCACATAGCTTCTTCTTATTCTTTTCCCGCTCTGCAAAGTATCACCTTTCATTTAAAAGTATCCATTATTGAGTAATCACTAGAACACTGATTGGCTAACAAGCTTACTTTTGGTGTTTCATTGATTGTCCAAATACACCAGATTTTATACCAGACAAAACATGACGGGGAAGAAGACACAATACTAATGGAGAGCTTATAACGAGACGACGCAATTGTGGTAATTGGTAATTTTGGTGTCTGTGCACGAGTGAAAGTTAGTGGTGATTGTTGTGAATGACAGAGTTTATGGACTTCATCCATAAGTAGATGGCTATGATAAGCAAGGTCAGTCATCTCAGATGCTGGTTTTCGGTTGAATCATTCCTAAGCCTGTACAATTATTTGATTTTTTTAAATGCATTAAGGTTAAACAGAAAGGGATTGAGCCATGTGTGCTGTGACCAGCTCAAAGCCATTCCACATTGGTGTGATGCTCAGATTACGTAAGCAAAATTAACTGTGTTGCCGCATTGTCATGCTCACAGGCGATTTTGCCACCTCTGCGTCCCAAACCTTGCTGATCACGAAAGCGTGAACGCGAAGGCAAATAAGCGTCCAGTCATTAAGCAATGAGCAACTCCTACCACTAGATAGATAGTAGATAGTGTTATTTGATGCGTCCAGATAACTGCCAACTGCCACAAGTGCACTTGAATCGATAGATGAACGTAGATGAGGTCAACATTGGCAGCTTATTCATGTTATGGCATGGGATGTGTTGATATAAAGAACTGACATCTTAGAGACTGTTTCCTTGCTAAATCGATAAAGCAAAGAAGCTTTGTTCTGCGTATTAAATCACAGGGTGAATTTTGTTGAGCGAATGAAACGTGAACCCGAGACCTCACAGGGAGAACGTAAGCATGCTACTCGCTTGGCCACTGGGCAGCTGATCAGACTGTTTATCATTTTCCCCATGCACATTTATAGCATGACCATTTACTTACAATATGATGACTTCACCTGCGTTCGTGAACTCAGATCCATTTACTCACCCATTCTCATCCACTCTCCCCACATACGCATTTACAAACACCAATTAACCCAATTACATCACCTCATTTTATACTCTGATTTCCTTCGGAGAAATGTCTGCTCTCACTACCCCATGATCAAACCAGATTCTCCACTACTTCCATGTAACATGGAACAGGTCGGAATGTTTTAACCGATTTATAACTGTGATGGCTAATGCCAAGATGCATAAAACGTGATGCCTGCATTAAGCTCGCAAAGATGGGTTGTGTTATATCGTGCCTAAGAAAAATGAAAAACGGTCTGATCAGTTGCCCGGTGGCCAGGACGATAGTATGCTTGCATTCTACCTGTGAGGTTCGGGGTTTGATCCACAATTTGGCCGACAGATTCGGACTACACGGATAGGATCTAACCAGGGGAAACAACTGTCCAGTGCTTCCTAGCTTTTTCCGTTTACGATTCATTAACATGACGAAATCATCATAAGATCAGATCAAATCCTTTGTTAATTTCATGAAATTTGAACTCCTAACAATAGAAAGTGCTTTTTCTTCTTGCATGGAATGGATACTTTGGGAAGTTCATTCGAATCAGTAAGGCGACACGACTGCCTAAGGCATGAAGCGAAACAGCACACAAGAAGTCTGTCCGTATATCCTAATCAAGGGAGAAAGGGTTGCCGGAATTTCGAGTACACGAATTCCATTGCATATCAGATGCACACTATAGTTGAACTCCACATTCCACCCAGTGATTCCAGAAGCCTGTATGGTCGAGGGTGGGTGTCTAGAGATGCGGCTGAGCACCCCTCCGTTGCATCTGGCGAAATGCTCCCATACGACCTAGCGTATCACATGGTTTCCGCTGAGGTAGCCCTACCCACTGTCTTTTAGTGGCGGTGTCTTCCCACCAAAGTGAGAGAACAATAAGCCAACATCCGGGTCGG